CCTCCTCCCTTCAGGTGGCCGCTACAAAGTTCCAATTGTGAAAACTAAGAGAGCCTGTACATCCTTTATTCCAAGTACCATATCTCTCTTAAACAAATGTGAAGATACCTAAATCAAAGAATTTATGTAAATATGTTTGGTATCTCTCTAATGTGTCAGTAGCTCTGCTGATGTAACACAAATTCCTGAAAAGGCATTAAAGTATTATTCTATTCTATTCTACTTAGTAAGTTACGATGTGGTATCCTACCTCTGGAAATAGAGGTCAGTAGATTTACATGCCCTAAAACACCTTTAGATGATAGAATTTGTAAACATTGTGATGGCAATATGATTGAGGACAAAGTTCACTTTTTGGTCAGCTGTCCACTATATTCGGACTTACAATATCACTTGTGGGAAAATGTATTAAATATTAACCCTTTTTTCTCTCTCTCTCTTGTCGCCTACTGACCAGGCTGCATTTATGCTTGGTAATGTTAAATTAATAAAACCCTTAGCTGTATTGGTTACTAAAATGTTTAATAGACGTAAACTCACTTTGTAGTCCTAGTAATTAAATATACCACACTTCACTGTTGCTTATAAAGCTGTGATATTTTATTCACAACTATCTCTTTTAGGAATAATGTTGTGTTTTGTGTCTCATAGGCTGTATGGCTGGATGTTATATTTTATTGAGTGTTTTAAAGTGTCTATGTATGTTTTATATATAAAATGTGACACACAAATAAAAACATTTTATTCTTCTTCTTCCTGCTACTAAACAAACATGGTAGGGGTTAATGGTTTGCCAGCTGCTGGATGATTTATGCCCAGAGCGGCCCTTCCCACAGTGGCCCCTGAGTTTTCACGCCTTGTTAACAAACCATCCCAGAGTGGCCCGTGAGCACTTAAAGGAGAATACGAACGAAAACAAAACTTTTGATATATTGTAAAGGTTATTCTAAAAGTCACATTCCGTGATTAAAATTGAATAAAAAGTTTGTAAAATAGCAATAAAAACACAAAAACGTACTCGTATTTCCGCCTCTTAAGGAAACACCTGACAGTTAATGAACAGAGGGGGTATCACGTGACATGACGTCATAAGTGCCTCTTGCTGATGGCTTCCTCTTTGATTTTACCTCACAACTTAACAGTGTCCGTGGATTCTGAAGCAGTAAAAGATGTTCCTGATGTCATTTCTGAAATAGATGTTAGACCGTATCAATACGATCCGATTTTACATCTTGCAAGACAATCTTCCACTGAAGATGAAGAAGAAGAATCAAGCGAAACAGAGGCACCGCTTGAGGTCAAAATAAATTTAAAAACAGATCATATCATTTAACAAGATTACCATTTGTCAGCAAAATGTCATACAGTTCCAGCCAGCAAACTCACCCCTATAAATATATGACCAGTCACTAAGAATTAGTTTTTTAAAAAATGATTACAGTTCATTTTGTGTCAAATGGGTGACTGTAGTGTGTCTGGGATTTAAAAACAAAATAATTATGCTTCAGACGAGGGAAAACAAAAATTATCTGCTTCAAAAATTACACTGGAATTATTTTGTGGAAAAAGTTAGGATCCTAGTTCTCATTAATAACGTATCAAGTCTCGATACAAGATCCATGCCTGGTCGAGCAGAGAAAATATTCGCGACGCAGATAAGTTATTCCCCGAAAACTGGTGAATTGTAAAATACTAGTCAGGGTCCCGTTCCTCAAAACGATCGTAGCGCTACGATGATCGTAACTCCCATACTTTAACATAGACTTACGACTGTTGTAGCTCTACAATCGCTTTGAGGAACGGGGCCCAGGACAACGTATGTTTCCCCATTGTTTGGTTATGGAAGTAGTTGTGGTACTCGGTCATAGCCTTAGAATGACATCCTGTCAGCCAATGAGTGAATGAGTGAGTGAGTGAGTGAGTTTAGTTTTATGCCGCTTTTAGCAATATTCCAGCAATATCATGGCGGGGGACACCAGAAATGGGCTTCACATATTGTACCCATGTAGGGAATCGAACCCGGGTCTTCGGCGTGACGAGTGAACGCTTTAACCACTAGGCTACCCCACAGCCCGTCAGCCAATGAGAATACAGAACAACTTTCACGGCACACACTACTGACAAATAGCGAGTCTGATGCCAACGTGCGTAATTGGACAAAATGGAAAACAATGAAAGCAACAAGTACTTCATGATTTGCCGTTGTATTCGGCAATGTTTCGAGTTGACTGCATCATTTAGGGCTCCAAACCGACAAGAACGTTATAGCAAAACATTTTCAAGCTCATGTGAAATCTCTTACTGATTTTGATAATATATATCTCATGTGTACCAGTCGAACTGCCCCAGCTACAAATTGCCCCAGCATATTTGATCATTCATTCTAATTTGTTCAAATTTATTTATAATGACTGAATATATGCCGTAAATGCATAGTTTTTGTCAATTTATTATGATATTATGTTCTTCACATAAAAAGTTTCTGATAAATGTTTCATCAGTAAACTCATAACTATGTATATACTTATACATGAAGAACATAATATCAAAGATGACAAAACTATGCATTTATGGCCTATATTTATTAATTTTTAATAAATTGGGGCATTTTGACTACCCCACTGGGGCAATTTGACCAAATTTGCTGGGTCATTTTGTAGCGGGGGCAATTCGACTGGCAATCAGACTTGATTTAATGTATGTTAAAAATACCACTGACAGTAAGTTGTTACAGGGAATGATGGAGTATAAATGAATCTCGTGGGTACTTTTTCCTTCTTCAGCCTAGCTTGGGGATTTCCATACCCCATGCGTGCATGTCTCTTTCATATGCGTCCGACTCGGAATGATCGGCACATTTCTCCTGCCGATATACCGGGAATACACCCTGCTGGACAAGTAGGAAGTCACTGGAGAAGCATATATATACCAGTGTGAGAAGATGTTTGTACAGTAAAAAGGGGGGATAAGGTCTGCAATAACATAGGGAAGCCAGTAACAATTACAACACATTGCCTAGGTTAACATGTGAAGCCTGCAGTCTGCAGTATAAGAAACAGGATAGTGAAGCCTGTAGTATACACAAAGGAATTATGACAGATGGTAGTATGCAGGAGATATGTAATAGCCTTGGTCACGGTTGATTGACGGTTTCAGTCTTTTGATGTAGATAGCTTCTTGGAGTTTCCTGATTTTAAAGTCTTTGAGGTTGGTCGTTAGGGTTTTGACTCTATCCCACTGGATGCTGTGGTCATGATTATCTCGGATGTGGTCTGATAGGGCTGGAGTCAAGCTTTGATAATGAAGTCTGATGCTCTTTGATTCGGGTTGTGAGGGGGTCTAGATGTTTCGCCTACATAAGCCTGTCCACAATTGCATCAGACTTGGTAGACTGTTTTCTGCGGTTGTTGTTTCTGGTTGGTGATTTGCCAGTTGCTTTGATGGTATTTAGGATGCTGTTGTTCCTTTCGAGGACTACATCTATGTTAGCCTGTAATTTCAAGAGTCTCTGGACTATGTGGCTGACAATTCAGAACTTCTCAAGCCATAGGAGGTTGCTGTGGCAAAATCAAGGATGCAAGCAGATGAAACCCCTGAACATCGCAAAATGAGGAGACCAAGGCATATGGTTGGAGTGTGGGTGGATTAGCATGTCATCTTTTGGAGGTAGAGCAAGCAGGTTCTGGTTTGCGAGACTTGCTAAGTTGACAAACCAGCTACTTGCTAGCCAAAAGAGTGTGACCAAAAGCATAAGTTTACGTGTAAATAACAACAGGGTTGTTGAAATACCAATTCAGAGGACCTTCCTTGGTAATTGGTACTATATTTCCTGGAAGACAAACTGAAGAAACTTATAATTATGTGGGAAGATAGGTACATGAAGATATATTTGTCTTGGAGAGCAATGGAAAACATCCGGAAGTGCCGAGGCATCTCCAGATAACCAGCAATGAAAATCTTCATGTTAAAGATCATGTGGTCTGACTATTTCTTCGGATAAAGAAAGGATTCATAAAGGTTTCCAATGAAACTATATTTCAAACATTTACCTTGTTGCATGAAATTAATTTTACTTCTGTTTACAAAATATAATAAAATCATGTCAGTTTTCGTATCTTATACACATTCCTTGTCTATCAAACTGAAGACTAAATACTGGACAGATGATGGTTGATAAAACTAGAACTATTTCACAAAACAGCAGAGTCATTTGTGATAAGTACAAGTGAAGAAATAGGTTTACTTACTTCAAACAAAAACACCTTTATTGTTTACAAGATGTACACTTTATAAAAGATATTCAACAATCTATCCAGGAAGAATGGGGCTCAAATAACTGTTACTTTAGTTCATTTAAAAGTACCGTAACAGAAAGGATGTAGCTATCTTATAAGCCCAAAGCCTGGGTTTTACAATAGAGTGAAAACAAAATGATCCAAACGATAACATACTTCTCACAGATGTAAAGATGAATAAATACAAATTATCAATCATTACCATATATGGTCCCAATAATAATAATAATAATCCAGTTTAACTCTTACAATTATAAAAATACCAATAAGCGTAAAGCAAAAGAAAGGCTGCTGAAAGTAAAAAATGAATTTGATTTCAACAGATGAATGGAGCAAATTCACTTCATTCGCTAAGTGATTTACTTAGCCCCTTGAAACCAGCTAGACTGGAAACAAGCTTGGACCAAAGGATTATATTGCAAACTTGTGATAATAATGTATCACTCAGTTGGGGGTTACATGGTCAACCAGACCAAGCCACATGTCTTGCATGAGCTTCCAGTGACTACCTACACCAATAGATTGGGCTGAGTTGAGTTCAGTCAAGATGTTACATGTGGGGGATAAGAAACCTAACATATACATGTACATAGGAATAGTGAGTGGTAAAGTTGTAAAGACTAAAAAGAAAGCTATTGACAAAAAATAGACAGAAATAATACACTGAAAGAGATTTTGTAAGTTTCATATAGAATGAGCTCTTACCAGGGTGATCTGTTGTTTGCTTAATCAGTTGCATGTAGAACTCATTACAAAGGTGGTCATTCTCAAGGCACTTTAGCATCAAGTTCTGTATCATTCCAGTGTTGTCATGTGAATCACCTGCACCTGAAAAGTATTGCAGTCATGATCTTCTGATTTCAAGTTCATTGTTTGAAATAATGTTTCATATGAAAGATCATGTAGTTTATAAGATCTATTGTATTTCTGACCTCTTAATATCTATATATATTAAAATTCATACAAAAACACATGTTAGGGCATTTTTAGAAAACGCTAAAAGTTTAAAACAAAAGAAATTGATATCAAGAAGAATTAGAACAAGTTTGTTAGAATTTCTGCGTGGACATTAAATAGAGACAACAAAACCCTTTCCACTTTCATAAGAAATCTCTGCTAAAAGCAGAGTCGATCGTACAATTGTGACTATATCGTGAGAATGTGTTTGTTTGATGCTATTACGCACCTGTCAAACATATGCAAAAGATTGTCAACTGTTCACCTGAAAAAAACCTGCAGGAACGTATGATACAAGTCAAAATAGAGAACTGGACTGGACATCAGTTTTGTCACTGATGCATCAAATTTTAATACTTAATCCTCATGTCTACCATCAAATTTTTCGAATGTTGTATCCTCAATCGAACAACTTCTGAGGAAGAGTCGTATGATGCTCTTTGAGGAAAGGGCAAAGGAAAGCGCATCCTTGATTGTACCTCAAAAGTTGCCAAATGTAAACACTAAAGGCTGGAGCTGTTGGAATATTGCTCGAAATAAAAGTTGACTGAAGAAAAGTTGAAATCATTCCTTTTGTCATACAGCCTTGTGAAGAGTTTTTGTCACAGGATTTTATGCATAGATCTAAATATGAAACAGTTGAGGCAGGCTCACTTGTCTCCTTAATTGTGGCGGGCATATCAGTTGAAGGGAATTGGCTAATTAAAGGTAATTGAATGATTTTAGATCATTGATATACCTGAAGCTTAAGTTAAACGTCTTGGCCAAATTACCTTGTTTTCATTTTGCCAAACTGAACAGAAATTCTGAAATATGCATAACAGATCCACGAGGAGGGGAGTATAAATGGTGCCTTCTTGTCTATGTGTTTTACCCCCAAATTTGACAAAGATGTGATCAATGATGAGGTCCTGCATTTTACATATTGTTTTCTCAGTAATCTTCAAATGACATTGGCTTTCATTTTTGACAAAATGTAAATTTACAAATGCCCCATGGATCAAGGAATGAAGTTATTCTTTAAGTTTGTCATGTGTGAGAGTGGTGTACAACATTGAAATATCAAATGTTTTGACAGAACTGAACTTGGTTTGTTTCTGAGATTATAAAAATTCAAGCAAATCCTTCGAGTTTTTAAGAATTCACATGGTATTTATTCCGCTTGTCTCAAATACTTTTTTGTGAATATAGAGAAAGCCCTTCCCTGACAGTATAAAGGATTATGGTTAATCTTTGAGACTGTGTTTTGGTGACCCAGCAGTACATCTCTCTTTGTATAGATTTTTATGCAATTTTGTAATCAGTACAAAAGACGAATGGACATGTTTTTAGTTTGTTTGTTTTTTGGTCAAGACAAATGTTGATAGCACCGATGGATGGTTTGAGCAGATTTCTTCATCAGTTAACAAACTGGCCTTATATGTGGCATTATTCAAAATGTCACATGTACCAAGCTCTTTGTTAAACAATTTAAGTACCGCTAATGATGTTTCTACACTCATGGTAACGAATAAGGGAACACATGAAAGTACAAGTGTTCCTTTATTCATATCCAGAATTTCACCCACAGTGCAATACATACCTTGTGAAGAAACCTGGAAAAGAATAATGGAACACTTGTACTTTCATGTGTTCCATTCGTTTCCATGAGTATATATAATGGTAATGTTATTTTAGGCATTTTCATGTGGGAACAACTACAAACTTTTCAGACAGACTTTCGATGACAACTGGCTTAAACTTAACATCCTAGAGTACATGTGCAACAGAAGCTCATGTTTAGTTGATTACTTAGGCCAGAGGATGTGAAAAAGTAAAGAGATACACACAACTAAATTCTTCATTGGGTGTTCTCTAAATGATATGTGAAAACTCATATTTTGTTGCACATGTTGACAAAAGGATAATGATGATGAACTCATATTTCCTGACGTCTATGAATTCAGCAAAATGCAGACCAAATAGTTGTCTGGAAATGGGTATCTCTCTCACAAACCTGTTATCAAACTTCAAAAAAACATGCACAAATTCTCATATGTATTTTTGAAAACTACATTTATCTAAATATGTCTTACATTATACTGGACAGTGAAGCAAGATATTGACAGCGGGAATATAGACCAACTGTAACAAGAGTTATCACAGTGACTGCCTCGTCAGACTTTCACATCATCAGATTTACCTAAGGGCCTCATGATGTATGCTTCTCCGTGGTGGGCCTAGATAGGGGAATTATATTCCCTGAACTAAACGTACATCACCCAGTTAGGGCTGAACCCCCGAAGCTGGTTTTTCACTGGGTTACTGACAGCCAAGAGGAAAATTTTCTTTCACTTCCGCAGCCCAGTCAGCCTTCATCCAGTTATGAAATCAACCATACTGGAGATGGGGAAGGCACAGAACCCGGCCAAGAATATCTTGGTCCAACTATCTAAAAAACACACTACTTGAGTGTGCAAAAGCAACGGGATAGCATGACAATCCACAAATAAACAGCAAGTCGCTTAAGCTGCATTGAGAAAATTCCGTGCCAATGTATGTTTACCTGACAGAACAAAATCTCCGAGACCAACTCCGGCATTTTCAAATTCACAAAAACAAACGGAGGCAAATTAAACCACTAAATGATCTTTTCCCCAAAATTAAATTGATTTACTTAATGAAGCTATTTCTTAAAACTTTCTGCGGACTGTTCATAACATGAAGTTAATTGCTGTGTCTATGCTGCTGCTTGAACTTCAGTTTCCAAAGTAAAAACATCTAATGGTTATAGTGAGTGAATTTCATTTGATGCCACTTTTAGCAATATCACGGCGGAGGACACCAGAATTGGGCTTCACACATTGTACCCATGTGGGGAATCGAACCCGGGTCTTCGGCGCGACAAGCGAACGCTTTAACCACTAGGCTACCCCACCGTCCCTCTAATAACAAAAGACCAAAGAAAAAAACGGTTTCTTGTAAAACTTCATGAAACCAGAAGAAATGTTTCCTGGAATGAGCTGTGCTTTAAAATAAGATCGTCAGGGAACCCAATGTCTAAAAGGCAAAAATCAATTTGGAGAAAAATAAAATTATAACTTAAGACGACTAAAGAAAAGGTTCTTCTCCAAATTGTTGATTCCCTTAAGGCAAAAATAAAGATTTGGACTGAAAGAAAGAAAAAATGGGAAAAGAACAAATTTATAAAACAAAATAAACTCTGTAGAAATAATGAAAAGCATTTTACAGGCAACTCAAAACAATGGGTGATGGTGAACATGAAAAGCTGTCTCCCATGAAAGGTTCTGGAAACAGGTCTGTACCCGGTGACTGTAACCTTGAGCCACCATGGGTTCATGCTTTCGATCATGCAGTGCCTGAAAAACAACCTGGGTCGTTTGTTACATCTCACCAGATTGCCTGAAAAGTGTTATCAAAAAGTCAAAATCTAATACTGCTCCAGGGCCTGATGGCATTCGAAACTAGTAATGGAAACTGTTCTCCTGTGTCCAAACACCATTACTTCACTGTTTCAATTTTCTTGTGGACACAAGCGGTATTCCTCCATGCTTCTGCAACGGTCGCAAGATACTCCTTCCCAAAAAAGGAGACATGACTGATCCCAAAACCTTCCACCCTATCACGTTTGAATACACAACATAAAATATTCACAGGGTGTTTGACAAACCTCGTGTCATCTTACTGCTCTTCCAATGATATAGTTTATAGAGAGCAGAAGGGGGCAGAAAGGGATGTTTGGGGTGCAAGGATCAACCTTCTCGTACAAAAAATGATTTTGGAAGAGGCTAAAACATATCACCGCAACCTCTCCTTGATTGACTACAAAAAAGCATATGACTCTGTCCACTTTGAATGGATTCTGAAGTCTCTTCATTTTATTGACCTCCCTGAGCGACTACACGACGCATGTAGTTGTAACAACAATGGCGACCGGAAGCGGTCGAGGCAAACACACTTTCAACACAACTAGTTAACATAAGAGGCCTCTGCTGGCGCAACTTCTTCTTCTTTTCTTTTTTTTCCAAAGAAGATAACGGTTAGAAACTTGATAAAATTAGAAATTAAAAAGTCAAACTATTCAAAGTCTTAACAATAATCCTTGAATCTGGACAGAGTTCTGCATAGACGGGGAGGAACGGCGAGGTGATGAATCTTGGCACTGGCGGGATGGTGGGTTGTCAGATAGAGACTGTGGGCTTAGAGTCTCTGTAAGAAACAAGGGTTGCACAGTGCTCGGTAAGACTTCCCACGAATCTCTAAGATTGCAGGTCTCTTCAGCGTCAGGATGGGTCTGTGTGGCTCGGAGAGAAGCTCAGGTATAGTTGGTGGATTAGGTACGCTGCTGCTTCAGGGCAAGCAATACCCGGTTATTATCGGCAGGTCAACGAGTTCATCAGGATACATACGTGGGTTTGGTGATTGGTCAGGTATTTTGTGACACTCTGAGAATTTTACTTGGTAAGACATTCCTGCAAACTGGGACCCAACAAATTTGCGAATGTGGCACCATGGGCGGTCAAGTGATACGACCAGGTATCTGCAACGGCTTCTCTACTTGGAACCATCAGAATAAAGATAAACAATGTCTCCCACAGTTAGTGATGACTTAGGTAGAGTTCGTCCACTTGGGCATTTTGCGTGTTCACTGTGAGTATGGTTAGCACATCGTCTGGTGTATTGGTCCCCTATCAAGCAGAAGTCTGACAGTGGGGTTTGAGTATTTGAAAACTGATCCCGTTGGGTCCACATTTCTCGTGCAGAAAGGCCGGAAGAGCGAATCCTTGCAGTTCAATCTGGATACAGCAGTTGCGAGCGTAAGGGAAGACACTGCTCGTCCCAAGGGATCCTGTCGTAGGATCTGTACCTCG